TGAAGGAGCTGGGGCTGCACCACATCCACCCCGGCGTGCCCCAGGCTGTGCTGTGCACTGCTGCTAGAGCAGGGCCCCCCACCACGTGGACCCTGGTGACAACAGAGCTGCCTGTGACATCCTGCCCGTGCTCTGCCGAGGGAGCAAATTCAAATTCAGGATTTGAATGACAGCCTGAGTGATGAATTCAGCTCGGAGGCCAGACTGCCTCTTCCCAGCAGAGTATCAGTATCTGAGTCCCTGGGGTGGCTGATTTAAAACCCTCATTAAGAAAAGCACTTGGGGAGGGTGGTTTGAAGATGACAGAACCAGAGCTTGAGAGGAACATGTTCAACTCCTTGAGCACGGGCCCCGTGTACTGTTCACCTCCTGCTCGTGGCTGTTTCACATTCTAAAACAAATCCACTGTGAATTGTTCCCCAGGAATAATTTTATCAGTGAAGACCCGCTCAGAACAGCAGGTGTCCAAGCTCAAGCAAGCAAACCTGAAACTTGCAACAAAGGTGGAACAACTGGAGCACAGCTGCACAGAGAAGGTAAGAAACCACTCTGCATTTAAACATGGCTCGTCTGCTGGCTGCTCCCCAGGACAAGCTGGGCTGTTGCAGGGTTGCTGCTGTCAGCTTGGTTTCCTCATCAGAAAGCTGTGGGGTAAGCTGGGCTGAAGCCACAGCCTCACATGTAGCCTGAATCTCCTGTAGCCACTTGCCACAAAAATATGATGGCTACTGCTGTCCTGCTTGCTTCAGCCAGGTTGTCCTGGTTTACTGCAATAAGATAGCTTCAAATAGTTTCTCAGGTTCCTGCAGCTCTTCCCACTGCAGGAGTGGAGGAGCTATATTAATCATCTGACTTTTGTCTCCAACAGGAGCAAGAAATTGAGAGGCTTAACAAGATATTAAAACAGCACGGGCTCATCAGCGAGCAGAAATAGGCTGGTGTGGTGAGGGGGAAGCCTGCCCTGGAGAGGGAAGTCTTGAAATCCACCTGTTTGACCTGAAAGGTGTTCCTGTCTCTTTGCTTTCTCTTGTATAGTGTTGCCTATAAACATTCTCTATTTGACCATGCTTTGATTAGATCTTGGGACTGCAAAAAGTTTGGCTGGAAAATTAATCACACGTACTCCCTGTAAACAGTGATCTCATAAGACCTTTCTTGTACAGTTGTACAGTCAAAAGTGCAAAATAATTTAATAAGACCCCTCTTTACTAGCTACACATCCACAAAAGTACCACTTAGTTTAAATAATGTCATTTTTCTGTGATAATATTCTTTGTTTGCAACATCTTGTAGAAACTTGCAGTAAAAATGGGAAGGACTCTGGCTGAAAAGGTCATTTCTTCTCGACCAGCTGACCACTCAGCATTGGTACAGCTCTTCTTTGCCAACCATTCTTTTCATATTGTTGGTAGTTTCCTCATTTCTGTTGCTGCTTGTGCTGCTTTGCTGTTTATAGAATGTTCATTTCAAAAATACCAACACGCTGCTCCTTTAGTTGACAATCCAATCAGCACCAAAACACCAAAAACAGAGGTGTGGCAAAACTCTGCCACCTCTAGTCAAACAGTGCCTTGTTCTCACCAGCCAGCCTGAGTTTGGACAACATGTTCTCTCATCTCTTCTTCCACTTGAAGTGTTTGTTTGCAGCCCACCAGGCTACAAAGTTCTTTGTTTCCATGGCTGGTAAATCATAAAAGAACCAGAATATGTAAGAACAGATGTGGGGGAGTGGACTGCTGGGAACAGAGTCCAGAAAAGCTGTTTAAAAGCATGCTCTAAAGGACCAGGCTGGTGTCTGAACACAACATGAACTTTTTCAGGTGCTTGGGAGGTCCTTGTGGTGAGACTGTTTCATAGTGAAGAGGAAGACTCAATAACTGGAACTTCAGACAAGTGTTTGCCTGTAGAGGGTGTCTCCAATTGATTTCAGCCAGAGTCTGCTGGAAGGGTCACTGGGCTTTTCTGAAAGCATCACTTAACTCTTTGGGTTTTTAATGTAAGGTAATTAATTAGTGGTTTGGGAAAAATACCTGGAAATATGTGGCTTATTCATCTATGAAAATAGGTAAAGCAGAGGCCCTATCTAATAGCACGTGATTACTTTAATTAACAATTTAGCTCTGCTGTTCACAGAGTAATGAAACCTCATTTCCTCTGGAGCCCTGTGCAGTCCCCTTCCCCTCCTGCCTCCATGCTGCCAGGCAGCCCAGACTAGAGCTGCTTCTGATGTGCTGGTGGCTCTACAGGTGCTGACTGGCCAGCTAGAGCCAGTGTCACATTCTTACTGTGACCTTTTCTCCTTTTGGCAGAGGTATAACTGGGAACTTTCCATTTAATGTGTTTTTTTTTCTGACCTAAGGCTTCTGAGAACCCTCACAAGGGCTCACCCTTTTTCTCTTTGCCAGTTATGAGCCAGTGTGTCTATAATTTAGAAGAAACTGAATGGCTGGATAAACCTCACTTCTTTAGGAAATAGAGTCAAAATCAGAAAAAGCAGAAGTGTGGCTTTTTTTTTTTCCTTCTTGATGCATACTTACCTTAGACAAATGGAAAGAAAAAATCAGAGGGTAACTTCAAATTAATGGTGGGCCAAGCTTTATAGCCTGGCTCTGCAGGTGAAGAAACATCAGTGAAGACAACAGAACTTGTGACAGGAATAGTTCTTTCTCTTCCTGAGGGAACCTGCAGTGAAAACACAAATGGTCATTAGCTTCAGCTTGTTCTTGGCAGGACACCTTTGGATCAGGTTATATTTTCAGCTGATTCTTTCCCTTCCTGAGGGAACCTGCAGTGAAAATACAAATGGTCATTAGCTTCAGCTTTTTCTTTGCAGGACTCCTTTGGATCAGGTTATATTTTCAGCTGTTACTTGTAGTAAGTTGTTTCTGGTTTTTTTTTTCATATCCTGTTCTGCATTTCTTTTCATGAATGATGTGTAGATTTTTATTGAAGTGTGTTTTGGCATGCAGCCCACAGTTGTGTTTGAGCTGAAACAAACTGTTGGGTGCAAAACATTCTAATATTAAGTGTTGCCTTTAGATAAAGAGATCAACTGAGTCACTGTTGCACAGCTGATACCTAAGCAAAACAAAGCATTCTTTTTATCTTAAACCCTGTAATTTAATTACTTACCTGCTTCCAGGGGCTGGTAGAGATTGTTGCAGTAACATTCACTATCCTGGCTTGTGGATTGACAAGGGATCCATATTTAGTCCACTTCACTTCTATTTCAAATGACACTGGTATTTGGCAGGAGCTCTGAAAAGTGTTATAGATCCTCTCATTGTCTGACTTTGTACAAAGAGTGACCAGATGAATTATTCATGTTCTTAAACTGGCAGAATGCCCCCAGAAAACTCCTCTGGGGAGGTTCCTGGTGCAGCAACACCAAGGCCTCTGCAGCTCCTTCCAGCCCCAGCTCAGGGCTGCCTCTGCACTGTCTCCATAGGTGACAAACCAGCTCTGTAACCACACTTCAGGCAGGACTGTTCTACCTGAGCCCAGCAGGACTTGCTGCTTTCAAGAGTAGTGCTGAGCTGACTCTTTTTAGTACAAGCTTATTTCAGTAATACTGCTGAGACAGCAGAAAAATCCTTAACTCTGCCAGGGTGGAATTTGGAAGCCTACAATTTTACATATGTTTAAGTATTTCTTCTTGACCTGTCTAGTTTCTGGCTGGAGAAAGTTGCAAAAGCTTGCAAGTTTCTAGTTGCAAAAGCCTGCAAGAAAGCTGTATCTAAAGCTGTATCTAAAGCTGTGGTTGAGGAGATGCTGTCACTCAGCACAGCCTCCTGCCCTGCACCATGGAGAGAGGGGCTGGTGCAGAGTTGTTGAGAATAAATGTGGTGTTTGGCTTGCTGTTTCTGTGCTTTACAGGATTTTTGCTATCTTACTCTACCCTGGTATAAGAGCACCAAGTAGAAACATTGATTCTGTTACTTCAGTCTTTCAGCATCACCAGTTGTGTGCTTCATTCCAGCCAAACAGCATGGGACTCAACTGTGGCTAAAAATGGGTTGGTTTGTACCTAATGTGTTGTCCTGATCCCTAACTGAGGTGCCTGGATGCTTGATTAAAAGAAAACTCTGTCCTTACAGCAAGAGTGAAACCCTTTCTTTTTGAATATTCTAGAAGGATTTTGAATCATAGAATCATTTTGGTTGGGAGAGACCTTTAATATCAAGTCCAACCATTAGCCCAGCACTGCAAAGTCCCTTCAGTTTGTCTCTGCATTTTTTTTTCCCCCCAAAAGGTGTGAGAAGCTTGGGCTGATTCTGCAGTCCAGGTACAGGTCTCAGGAGAGAGGCCAGTGAGGGTGAAAGGGGTGCTGATAAGTGTGACATTCACCTGTTCTGAGGTGTGGAGGTGAGTTATGGGCACCCAGTCAAGCACATCCTGGGCTTGAGAATTTCCAAATGAGGCCACATATTCAGGAAAGCTTTGTCCCTTCAGTAAATCTTGCAGGGTCTGAGCCAGGGGCTGGCATTTTGTAGCTGCTGTAATTCTTCCAGAGGGGAAAAAAAAACAAGAATTAAAGCAAAATCTGGCACAGAATAATTTCTCTTTGCTCTCATGCACTGTTCAAGCCTTCTGGCTGTGGTTGCTAATGTACACAATCTTTCCAAGAGAAAATTAATTAAATGATATCTTTTGTAATGAAATATTCCATTCTCAATATGCCTACAGCTGTAAAAATGTCCCAGGACTTGCACAGATCCTAACAAAAAGGGTTGTCAGAGGGTTAAAAGCAGTGAATCAAAATAAATGTCCTCTTACCTTAACTGACAGCCTGATATCATGTTGTAACCAAATAATATTGGGGTTCTGGCTCCCTGGGCTGCCAGACAATCCTGGTTGGAGGTGCTTTGCAGAATGGTAAGTTGACCATATTTGTTAGTATTCTGAATGATGCCAGATGTAACACATAGTTAAAGGAAATTCAATGCTTGCTGTATATCATGAAGAAAGAATCCTGAATCATCTCCTTAAAATACACCTGAAAATTCTGGGATAGCTCAAGAGTCCTCTGATACAGTGAAGAAGCACTAGAGTGTACAACAAAGGTCTAAATCTACCTCACCAAAGAGTCCCAGGAGACTGCAGTCAGGACTGAGTCATTTTCTACTTCTCCAATGTAACCCAAAAAGCACACTTCTACTTTTGATAAAGAACAGAGAGATTTTAAAGGTGTCCAGGCTAGAAAGTGTTTGTGGAGACAGACCAGAGCAAGGGCTGCAAATAGAATTTCCATGGGGAAAGGATATCCTTGTGGCCAGAAACCTGCTCTTACAGGCAGTCCAACAACGTAGCCAGGATTACCACTGAGAGGAACTGGCTCTGTGTTTACCTGCAATGCAAACATACAGTCTGAGTTCTTACCCTGTACTGAAATGGCTGGAAAATGCAGAAATGTTTCACTTAATTTAGGATTATTACCTGCTTTGAACACTGAGATCATAACAGGTCTCTTGACACTGGGGCAAGCTGTGTTTTCACTGGATACTGTTAGAGAGTCACAAGATGACTCTTCTAAATGAAAAACAGACTTTGGAGACTACTGCCCCATTCTGAAATGCTGCCTCATTTGTATATCCAAGGCAAGTTATACTTTACCTTCCTGCTAACAGCTGCTGTGATTCAAGTTTAATAAGTTTTGTAGTTAACTGTCTTTCAACAAGCCATCCGTGACATCTCTAGCAGTTACCTGAGTAAAGCTGATGTCAAAGCTCTGCTGTATTGAAGGTGTTTCTTTGTTAACTGCCCCCAAGACAAAAGCAGCAGCTGCTTCTATTATCTCTCCTGCATCCGTGTAGGTAATGTGATAACTCACCTGAAAATGAAACATTTTAAGTATTAATTAGAAGAAATACATCCCAGTATGAAACTAGGAAAAAAAAGGAATTTAAAACTATGCAAGTATTGTTTTCTTTCTGCCTTCCTTAAGAAACAAGTAACTACACAGAAGAGGTAAACTATATCCTCTAGAGCCTCTTCAAAACTGACTTCTGGATAAACCTCTTCTAAGCACAAGCCAAATGTTCATCTGTTTAAAATGAAAAGATGATGAGATTTGCACTGTGTATTCCTCTCTCTGCCACCACTGAGCCTGAAGTCATCTTTTCCCAAGCATAGATTCCAAGCTCATGTTATTGTCTGTCATATAGAAAGGATTTCATCCCATCTCTGCATTGCATATACTTATTAGTTTGTTGCAAAACATTCTTTTTTATCCCAAAGTCAGTGTTTCTCCTGACACATTTGCTTTGGAGATGTCACAATACATGAAAACTGTGCAAGGCCTTCCTCACAACTTTGTGAACTGGAAGTGATTTGATGCATATCTGCTTTCCATCACACGTGAGGAAGACAAGAACTATCATACCTACCCCAAGAACTATATTCATGCAGAGTTCATCCAAAACCACAGGGAGCCTGAGGACATCACTACCATTAAGTAAAGTCTGCATTCCATTCAGAGACTGGACAGCTATGGACTGGACAGTAATATTGACCTGGAAAAACAAATTCATGTCATTTCTGAGCACTGTGTGTAGTTATTCTGGGCTTTTTCTCTATCATTATATTTGTGACTGTTCCAGGTTCTGTTCCACAGGGAGAGCAGTCAATAATCCTCTCACCAACATGTTACATGTGTTGCTGAAGGTCAATGAAAGGTCCTATTTTTAAGTAACTAGACAGATCCTTAGAGTTTTATATGAGAGGAATGCATTACACTTAGATGTTTGCAAGCAGCATATTGCCTTGGAGTTGCTAAGTACTGGTAGGAAATGGTAGGAATTTTTTAATTTAAAGATTAAGGCTAAAGTCCCTGTTCTGAGGAAGTCAGTGAAAAACTCCCACTGACTGTAACTGAGCAACAATTTTGCCCCTAGTTGTTCCAACTGAGTTAGAAGGCTACTTACCCTCTGACTTGATTTGGGCACCTAGAGAGGAATAAAAGAACAGATTCAAACAATAGCAAAGGTATGAGCTAGTAAAAGTAGCAGTTAAGCACTTTAAGGCTTCAAGGCTTTGCTTGTTTAACTCTGTGTTGTTACAATAACCTTCAAATCATGGAATTGATTGGATAAACCCTCCTGTATCCAGGTAGTGTGAAATTAACTGCTGTTCTTTGTGGCTAGTAGGCAAAAATCTTACAGTCCAAGCCTCCTCTTGCCCTGACAACTGGAAAATTTCTTGGGGACTTCCATTAGTCCTGGCTTTGAGTATATTCCCAGTTAATTACAGTGCATCACAGGGTTTGCCCTACTGAGGGCATCAGATCCTGTTGCAGAAACACTTGTAACTGTTCAGAGGCTGCCAGTTTAGGAATCCTGCCAAGCTGCTCCTACCCAAAGGAAGGAAGAGCTTTTGTTGTCCCACTTAGATGGTAGAGAGTCCATAGTTTCACAGTAAACAAAGAAATGAGAAGCAACTATCCTTCCTGTTACACAGCACACAGCCAGGCACGGTTCCCCAGTGGAAAATTTCCACCTAGTTTTCATGGAAAGGCAGAAATATCAGCTCAAGTCTTCAATCAGGCCTGCAGAATACTCACACAGAGCACTATTTTTGTCAAAAGTTTTATTGTTGTGACTTCCCATTGAGTGTTCAGTTCACATCTTGGGGAAGGGACCAAAAATGAGCCTGACCACAAAGCAAGTTCTGCAGAACTGTGACAGGATATGGAGACCAGTCTGCTCATCTAATGTCCCAGCAGAGGACACACTCCTGTGAGCTGGAGACCTGAAGGTGATGGAGGTGAGGTCTGCCACATGTCTATCCTGACATCCTGAGGTACAGCTCAGCCATCAGCAAGAGCTGTACAACTCAAAGTGCTTGTAAAGGTCAGACTCATCCCTCAGAGAGACATGTTCTGACTAGGGCAGAGGGAATGAGCACCACCCCTGGAATTCTCTTTATCTGTGGCTGTGGTGATGGATCATGCTCCTGTGGGGCACTGGCAGACAGGGGCCCAGCCTCACTGCTGCCTCCCACCAGGCAGGCAGGCAGGGGCAGGCAGCAGCACCTTGCTTTGCCAGGGGCACAGTGTGAAGCACAGTGGAAGGTTCCAGAAACCTCCAACACCCCTTGGATCTGCTGGACAGGCCAGGGTGGAGAGTAACTGCAACAGTTACTGGGACCTTCGTGTCACTCGTTGTGCAGCCTGGCAGTGAGTGTGGGCACATCAGGACAGGGGGTTCTGAAGGAACTGCTCCACCAAGCTTCTCAAGCCCAACCCTGGGCTGAGGATGTGTTCTGCTCTTTCTTTTGCTGGCAGCTCCACCTGCTGGCACTGGGAGAGGTCCCTCCTCTGTCCTGTGACCACTCTGCCCTCAGCACCAAGTCATTTTTCTAAGGTCACATCCCATCTTGAGCTCCCTTTTGGAAAGGGAGCTTCCTTCAGATGATCTTCTAGCATCTACCCAGCTTTCTCCAGTTCTTGCATCTCACCCTCCCTGCATGTCCAAGGTGCTCCAGATGGCAACGTGACCTCTCCTAAGCTGGGCTGTTGCAACTGGCAAGCAGCATGTGAGTAATGTGTTATGGACTGGTCTAGTGAGAAAAGAGAACTCCTCTTTTAATTCAAAACCATTCCACTGCTTGGAGCCTGCCCTGAGGCACACTTCCTCTTTCTCTGGTTCTGCAGCCACCAAGAACTCTAATTTTGGGTGCACCTGGAAATGCTCAAAGCCCTTCTGAGGGAGAGTTTTCTCCAACTCTTTCACAGCAGGATGATCAAAAGCTGTGTGTGACCAACCCTTTGCTGGTTTCAATGAGATCCTCAGAGATCAGAATGATCCCACCTGGGAGAGTGTGAACTACTCAGTGGATTTTCCTTCACTGTTGACAGCTTTGGGGTTTGTGGGAGGGGGTCTTTAAGCAGCCAGTCACTGTGGGGTACTAATTAAATTAATTTAAATAATTACATAAATTAAGAACATTAATGGTAATGCTGCTTCTTGTTGACCTCCAGCTTCTGGCAGGAGTTATCAGGGTAAGTTATTATGTATTTCAGGTTCAATTTGGCATGCATGGTTTCTTTCTCTTCCTGAATATCTGTAAAGAGCATTTTATTTATACATAAGACATGATCCTGCAGCTCAAAAATGAATGAAAAAGTATGCTTAGCTTTGAAAAATAACCACAGACTGGATTTGGTAATAGGCTAGATACAAACAAACTTTGTATTGTAAAATTGTGGGTGTTGGTCTCTTTTCCCAAGTGACAGGATGAGAGGAAAGGGGCTGAAGTTGAACCAGGGGAAGTTCAGACTGGATATTAGGAAGGATTTCTTTCCTGACAGAGTGGTGAGGCATTGGAACAGGCCACTCAGGGAGGTGTTGGAGTCACCATCCCTGGAGGGGTTCAAAAACTTGTCAACGTGGTACTTTGGGACATGGTTTAGTGGTCATGGTGGTGTTGGGTTGATGGCTGGACTTGATGATCTTAGAGGCCTTTTCCAACCTCAGGGATTCTATGAAATTTGCTGTCAGTGGGGTAGAAGGTCTTGTTCTTTGAGGAGTGTGAGGAAGGCTCAGCACACATGTTCAATACCTCACTATTAAAAGCTGAGGCTTGGAAGAGAGGTGTATGTGCAGAGAATTAAACCTTAGAGGTTCCTCTTTAAGTGCAAAGGTTTATTAATTCTTTAAAATTCAAATTTCTTGGAATTATGCACTCTGGTAATAGGCTCCCTGGAACAGCTTGAACATGCCCAGAAGCCTAGAAGTGCTGCAGTGAGTGCTAGCTCAGTGCCACCACCTTGTCTCTTCCAGACCTTTATTTTTGGTTGGCTAAGCAGGGAACAGCAAACACATCTGTTACCAAACCTTGAAATGAAAACATTTACAAAGGTTTCCTAGAGAAAAGTCTGGTGGAGATTTTTTTTTTCCCCAACCCACAAATTAAAAATCCAAATAAAACACCATATCCTTTTGTAAATAGAACTTACTGAACTCTGGAGCTGCAAAAAGTATGTAACATCCCAGGTCATACTTACTGCTAAGATGCTGGAGTTGATGTAGAACAGCATACTGACTGCTTCTATCTTGTCACATGTTTCCACACTTACTAATCTAGTGCATTTTGTAGCCTGGTTTACTAAAAACCCTGGAAAAAAAAAGTCACAAAGTATTACTGGACAAAATAAAAGAGTCATTAGGAAAAGCAGAAATAGGAAAAAAAATAAAAATCAGAACTTCAATATAAATAAAAGTAAACATAATTTCTGTTTAGGGTAAGGTTTGCTGTGAGCTATAAAGAATATTTCCTTAGATTCTCCACAAATGCTATGAGGCAAACTATTACTTCTTAACAGTAGAAGCTTAATAAAAGTCAGAAGATTTATGACTTCATTTTTGAGCTATGATAAGGTCTTTTTTCTTCCACAAGAGACTTAATTTTTGCTGTGGTCATCATGGAGGTTGTTATGATATCACATTTAATAATAATACAGTGAGCTCTGGGAAGTGCAGGTGTGTGTTTTTAGTTGGGGTTGTGCCTTTTTTAAATTTATTTTTTCCCTCTCCTCTGCAGATTTTCAGGAAACTGTGTGAAAGGTTAAAATGTGGAACTCAAGCCTGCAAGGCTGTCTTGAGTTGCATTCAGGCTGTGAAAGGAATCTCATCATACCAGAGAGGCATCTTACAAAGGTTGCCCAGTTAGGTCTTGCTTTGTGCAATAGCCTCTTCCCTCCCAGTGTCACCCTTGTACTATTTTATTAAACCAATTATGCCAAATAGGATGTTTGATTGTTGGATAAACAAACCCATTAATAAGACTGAAGGATTTCCATATCTAACTTTGAATGCCTAATGCAATGTAACTTCCAATCTATGTCTAAAAAAAACCCCAGAGAAACAGAAGCTATCTGAAAAAGTTTGTTCTTGAATCTTTATCTGAATTTACATTTGTGTGTGTGTCAATTTACTGACTAAGCTTGGCAGAGCCAAATACTCTAAAGCAAATAAACCAGAATTCAAACACATTTTACACATTTTCCAACCTGCAGGATTCGTATCAGAGCACCAAGAGGAGACAACAGGACTAGGCAGCCTTAGAAATCCATCCACTGTCTGTACAGGAACACCATACTGCAAAGAAAACAATGTAGTCAAGGATATAAGCATGTTTCAGTCCATGGAAAGTTGTAGAGCATTTATATGAACAGTAAAGCTGAGTGAAAAGAGGTGCTTATTTTCACTCTGTCAATATTACTTTGTACATCAGTTCTTAAGCCTCTGCTAAGAGCTTTGTTTGCAATAGCAAACCAGCTACTTATTTTCCAAAGGTCTTAAAAATCTAGTTCACCTTTTATGTAAGCTCAGACAAAATGCTACACTTCTTATTTTTACACTTCTGCATTTAAAGACCATCATAAATTTTGTCCTCTCCAAAAGAGCTGCATTTATTTTATTTGGTTTTTCAGCAGCTGCAACCAACACTTGCTTGTTCTTTTATGGAACAGGCTAATACTAATTGAATCAGGTAATTATTTACCTCATATCTGTAAGTTTCATTTGCATCAGAAGGAGTTGGATCATCAGTGTTCATATCCCAGCTCTCAGGCTCAGCACTGAATGAGGCACTTCCAAACTGTTTGAGCAACTGATCAAAATTTTCAGAAGTAGGCATTTCAGGGGAACTGAAGGAGAGTGCTTGTTTATCTACCAAAATGTTTTCAAGAAAGAGAGAACTTTTAGGATATAAGATAGACAAACAGTATTTAGTAACAGTTTTTCCTTCTGGAGTTGTTAAAGGCTCTGGTACAGAAGAAGCTCAATGCAGCTTTACTTTAAGATTTGTCTTTAAGAGAAAAGTGAGGTGGTCACTTTTTTTTTTTTAAGGTGATCTCAATGCACCATTTCACCCAGACCCATGAAAGCACAAATTTAAACTGCTTATTTCCCTGTGAGCCACTTCAAAGCAGGGCAAAAAGGATTTGTCCCACTGGTGCCTGTTGCATGGTTACAGGAACAGATGGGGAAGGACTCAGTTTCCCAGGAAACAATTTTAAATGTGATTTATTGAGGATGCTGAATTTGTTAAAAGCTTTTTTTTTTCCCCAGCAAAGAAGACAAAGAGTATGAGAGGTTTTAACTCCATAGTTTCACAGGTGACAGGGTTACACCCTAAGAACTGTGAGCATAGAGAATAACCAGTTCCCTGACAGGTTTAGTCCCCTTTAATTTTAGCCTGTTTCTGGTACCTAAAGAGCTTATCAAAATAACAGCACAGTGCTTAATACTGGCAACAACTCTACTTACAGTTTGTAGCATGGATGCAGAAAACACTGGGATTGACTTGGTCAATTAATTTAAATATCCTTTCTGGTGGATTTGCTTCAACATCAAGTGAATACACAGCAGCCTTTTGCCTGCAAAGCCTGCTGTCACCTCTGCAAACAATAATAATAATTCAATTAAAAACCCACTGGAAGTCAGTACTGACCATATTTTAAAGTTCTTTTTATGCACTGAGGCAGCATCAAAAAAAGCACTGAAGAGATGACTCTTTTTAACACAATTTGCATAGCAATTGTGCCTCCTTAGAAGGTTTGTATTGTTCTATACTCTGTGCTTAGTCATAATTCTCCAACATGTCTTATCCAGCAGAGGAAACTGTGTGAGCAACAATGTGAAGAAAGGTAAGAGACAGAGCAGGGGGAAGGGAGGAGCCTGACAGTAAAAATATTAGTGCTAAAATGACAAGTTGGATGGGATCCAGAGGGTGTGAGACACCTCAGATGCAAGGTGCACCACAGGCTACACAGGCTCAGCAGCACCTTTATTCACACCACCCAAGTGGGAATTGTGACCTTTAGGGCAACATGATGGCATGTAGACCAGAAAAAAAGGGTCAGTTTTGTGAATATTGGACCAATATTCACCTAGGAGGGTGGGGAAATTCCTACTTGTAAAAGGAATGGCAGGGTAAAGAGCAGGGAGATGAAATAATAACCCAGCCAATGCAGAGGTATTTGTAGACATGCTGTGGGTTAACAATGACCCAGCCAATGTAGAGGTATTTGTAAACCTGCTGTGGGTTCAGAGATCTGCAGTAGGCTGCACAGCAAATGGGCCAGTGAAGAGTACTGGGGTGTCCTACATGCTGGAAAGACAAGGTGATGATCCCTGTGAAAGTGGTGCTTAAGCAGAGTTAAAGCTGTCAAGGACAGATCCTGCAGACCTGAAATGACTTTTAAAAATGACTTTTTAAGCATGGAGTTAAACCTTTCCATGAGGTAAACTATTTGTTAGCAGAATCACATCATATATTAAACAGCCTTCTGCTGTTTGAGGCCCTGCTTTGACTCGTGGTCAGTCAAATCCCTTCAGTAACTAACACAATTACACAAATGTATGCAAATCTAGATGCAAATAATGAGATCCACAATCCTTGCAGCCACTGAAAATCCCATGGATGTTCATGCAAAATGAACATTTTACACAGAAGAATTTAGGGAGAGAAGCACAACTTCATTTTATGCATTTCTAGTTGACAAAGACAGAACAATCCCCTGAGACAATTAACCTGTCACTCAGGAAGGTGTTGATTAGACCTTTCTGTTATATATAAATGTCTATAAATGGGTAGTAAAAGTCATTGTGTGCAAGAACAATAAGAAACCACAGTCTGGGATGACTGCTAATTCAAATTTGAAAGCACCAAGAATAAACCTCAGTGTTGAGATTGGCATAATTTATGCAGAAGGTGGGTTGAAGAGCTGTACTTAATGTTCTGAGAAGTCACCAAGAGACTTTTGACATGAGGATTTTGAGGTGAGCTTTCTTAACTCCTTTTTGAAAGAGTGAAATTGAACAAAGGTCTTTCCAGGTAAACTAAACACCAAAGAAACAACTATTGGTGTTACAGTAAAATGGAACCCAAGTTTGTAAACTGCCAGACTGGCAGTGAGGCAGCAGGGGGGGACACTGACTTGTAAAACTAGAATAGCTCATGCTAGCTCATTAAGCCCTGAATTAATCAAATTTCTAGCTGATATCAAAAACCATAATGAAAGAAGTAACTGATCAATGGCCAGTGCCACACAGAGGTGGCCACGTGGCCCTGTGGTATCAGCTTTTGTAACTTCCAGACACTGCACTGTACTGAGGGAAGTCTAAAGGGCTGTTACTCTGCCCCAGACAGAAGGCACCACCACCTAAGCAGCCAAAGACAGCAGCATAATGAAATGGGGGAAAATCAAGGGGTGCAAGCTCAGGAAAGAGGAGGAAAAGTGAAAGAGAAAGGGGTGAGAGGCCAGTTTGCTGTTCTGCCTGGTTGGGCCAAACGTTTACAGGCCTAGTGCAGGAAGGGTGGTGAAAGGGTGGGTAGGAGTTAGGATGGCTGGAGGGGAGGAATTGGCAGGAGGAGAGGACAGAGCCCTCACAAAGGCAGGCAGCAACTAAACCAGGATTTTGTGTTGTGTGTGAGCTCTTTATCCACTTACGTGACAACAGGAACTGAACAAGTGGTGAAGAGGCTGAACTCTGCTGCAGTGCAGTCAGGGTCACAGCAGCAATTGACATCACACTGTGCCACCAGCAGGTCACAAACACACAGCCTGGAAACTGGGGGAGAGATTGAAATTAGAATTAGAACCTCACACTTGACAGCAGGTTCCCCAACACTTCCACTTTTCACCTTGCCTTACTCTTGACAATGGTCCAAAGTCTCTACCCCCATTCACGTGCTCTTTTCCTTTCAGTCATTTTTTTAAGAGCCCTCCTTTCTGCTACTTGGCAAATCTATTTGGGACACAACAACACCAAGGACATACTAAGATCTGCTGATGTGTTCCTGGTGAAATCATAAAAAAGGAACTTGAGTTAACAGGAATTTTGAAAGTATGAAAATATCTCCTCCCTCCCTGAGCTGAGTATAAAAACCAGATATGCTGAGCAACTTCTTTCAGTTAAATGGGGGAAAAAAAATCAAGGAACATTTTGATAGAGCATTAAAATGTTTAGAGGTATTGAGGGGATTTAATTTACAAGCATTGAGGGGTTTATAAGGATGTCCCAGGTCCAGTAATACATTTTCCTAAAGTGGCAACAAAACCCTAATAGACTCCTTGAAATAGTTGTTTCTTTCTGCATTTAGATTTGGTGAAATATTGCAGTAATGCAGAAAGCAGTTGTTAGCAATGCTGTAAACTGTCTGGATAAAATACATTTTGCAAATTCATAAAACATTCTTAGCTTTTCAAGTGTATAAATTGAAAGAACAGATGCTGCTGTACTGAACTCTTTAGGGGAGCTGCTGCTCTATAATAAACCTAAATTTGGGAATAGCACAGTAAGTAGAAAATGAAGAGCAGCACTCCCTGGGTGAGATGTTCAAAGAATGCTCATTCTCATGACTACTGCTGCTTTTATTTCAGCTTGACTGTTGCCCATTTCTCTACAGCCTCCTGGATGCTCTCTGACCATCTGAACTGCCCCCAGGTACTTCCTGGAATCCCTGATGTTCTGTCAGCTGAGTTCAGCACTGGAATCCTCAGCTCACCTTGTAAACAAGGGAAGTTTAAAGGTGGATGATTAGATTGCAAGGTTATGCCTCCGAGATCAGGGTGTTAATTCTCTTTTTTCCCTGAAGAGGAATGTAACAGGACGTGTTTAATTTGGCAAGTAATCCAGGGAAGCTGAATGGATTGCAACACTACTGGGAAATCCAAAGTTAAATAAAAGTATGGCTGCCAATTAGAAGAGAGTGGAAAACACCTTCTGACAGCAAAGTAACAAGTATTTGTGATCTATATTGCCATAGCACTGCTATACATCCACAGAGCCACGGCTGAATGGAGTCTTCGGGCAAATCGTGCGAGTGGAGAGCTCGGAGAGCAGCCGGGGGAGGCGGGGCGCCCTCGTGGCCAGGGGCAGGGGAGCCCGTTCTCCGTCAGCACCCGCTCGCAGGACTCTGCCTCCTGGGAGCGGCGTGCCCGGCCCCCGAAGGCTGTGCGGGGCTTGCCACGCCTGCCTTTCTGAGGAGGCTCCGAGCCCTGGCTGCAGAGGGGGGCG